CGCTGGAACGGACGGTCCAAGTGCTTTTCTGGACCGTCCGTTCTGGGCTTCAGTGTTTCCGAAAATTAAACCGAAATTAGGGTTAAATCACTTTATAAGAAGGAGATTAAAACCCTAATTACGCATGAGACTTTGAGCAGCCGACTTTTGCAGTTCTTGGAGAGTTTTTGGTGAGATCCAAAAAGCTCAACATGTTCTAAGTCTCGTTTTCTCGAAGTGGAAAAACTGAATAGAGATTCGAGTCCTAGCAGACAAGTTCCAATCGTTGGAATCCATCCCGAGGTGTGGATACGTGTAGAGGGCGAGGTAATCTTCCTGCCTTTCGTGATCAGACGTGTTTTTCGATTGATACAGGCCCCGGATCGATTGAGGTAAGCGTTCTAACGTTTCTACGATTCAATAGCAGCATGGTTCTAGGGTTCTATAAATTTTTTGTTTTAATTCCACTGCGCAAACCCTAGAATCGGTCTCTTAGGAATAGGATTCGCTCTAGAGATCACAGGAAACCCAACAGGAACAGTTGGCTGCGGCAGCTGGTATTTCGCAAGGAGCATACCGGTGAAGTACCTAGGTGTTCCACTCAGTCACTCTCGACTGCCCAGATCAGATTTTGCTCCGCTACTCGATCGGATTCAGATGAAGCTTAGTAGTTGGGCGAACAAATTCCTATCATCTGCAGGAAAGGTCCAACTCATAACCTCTGTTATTTATGGAATGCTGAATTATTGGAGCACAGTTTTTCTATTGCCTGGTTGCTGAAGAAGGTGGACAATCTTTGCTAAAACTTTTTATGGAGTCATGACCCTGGGACGAGTCGCAGCCACAGGATCTCTTGGGACTCAATATGCAAACCGAAGGCGGAAGGAGGGTTGGGTATTCGAAAAGCAGAGAAACAAAACAGAGTTTTCAGGCTTAAACTAATATGGATTTTACTCTGTCAAGCAGGTTCGCTATGGGTGGCATGGGTACGAAAAAATGTATTCAGAGGAAAGAGAATTTGAGACTTTGACTCATCATCTTCGGCTTCCTGGAACTTAAAGAAGCTGCTGAAAATGAAAGCTCTGGCAAGACCATTTGTCAAACACAAAATAGGGAATGGAAACAATACCTATTTTTGGTTTGACAATTGGCTGTCTATAGGGCCTCTTATCAGTTTCGTGGGAATTGACGGATCACGAATCCTGGGCTTGCATAGGTATTCATATGTAGCTGATGTAGTGGAGCATGGATCATGGAAACTCGAACGAGGGCGACACGGCCCAACTCGAGTGTTACGGGAATTATTGTCTGCACGCTCGGCGCCACAACCACAGGCTGGCGAAGATGTGATTTTATGGAGGCATAAAGAGGACGATTATAGATGCAGATTCTATTCAAATGCTACTTGGCGGAAAATCCGAACACCAGCTCCGACGGTTGATTGGTGCAGCATTGTTTGGTTTCCACAGTCCATTCCGAGGTATGGATTCATCACTTGGCAAGCGGTGCAGCAAAGATTACCAACGGCGGATCGAATGCAAAAGTTTGGAATTTGTTTTCCAAACAGATGCATTCTTTGCAGGGAAGACTTGGAGTCACACAACCATATTTTCTTTGGTTGTTCTTACAGTAGGGAGGTTTGGTGATTTTATGTTGGAAAATTAGGCGGCGAAACATCGGAGGATCTGCACCAATGCATCCAATGGGTGGCAACAAGAAGAGGCGGGAGAAAGGTATTGGCGATGCTTCTCCTCCAACGTACGTGTTATTCCCTGTGGTAGGAAAGAAATTCTCGCATCCACCGCGAGGTTGAAACCACAACTCAACAATTGAGGCAATCCATTGACAGAGGCATCCGTGACACTTTGATGGCTCAACACAAGACTACCCAACCAAAGGAAAATGAGGCACTGCAACTGTCGTATCGGAAGACATTGAACTAAAATATTATAATTTGATTGTATTAGATTGATTTTGGAACCACCTTCATGGGATCCCAAGATATTTTGTAATGGCCACTCGGTGGCAATGATGTAACTTATATTATTAATGAATATAGCAATCATATTTCATCAAAAAAAAAAAGTTTAGAAATTAATTTTTCCCTATTTTATAAGATCAAATTTTTTTTATGGGTTTTACCTTCTAAAAAACATAAATTTTCTATACAAGACTTGATTTGCCCGCAAACTTTATTAATTTGTCCACGTAATAACCAGTTTAAAACAAAAGAGATCAATACTCATAATAAAATATTAAATATTGAATTTTGATTCATAATTTATCTACTTATATCATATGTCACATTTTTTACCTTTTGTATACATTTTTCAAAACAAATATTGTATAGTGGAACATGAGATACAATTGTACAAAGTAGGAATAATGATTTTTGGAATATATATATATATATAAAACATACACGACGTTTGGTTTTACAGGAACCACATTTTCCCATCCAGCTAAATTAGTGGGTGCAATTGTAAACGCGTTTTTCTAAAAAGATATTTTGTTTGGGAAATAAACACTTGTAATAAAAAAAAGATTTTAGACAGAAATAAAATAAAAATAACCACTTTCAATAAATATGAAATCTAGGACAATTTGCAACAATATTTAGCTTTTGATTCCTCATATAAAAATTACTATTTCACCTTTGACATTTGCTTGTCTTGGAAAGGAAAAATATGTTGGATCACATAGACTAAGGAGGTACATTTTAGATTTTTATTATGTCTAATTTTGATTTTTTTTGTTCATTTTTTAGATTTTACAAAAAAATTAAATTCTACGCACTATAAAAAATATTCTTATTTTATTATATATATTGATCATGATCTATTTTAAAATAATATTGATTATATCGTTAAAATTATATGATGATCCATTTAAATTTATATAATGATTACACCGTTTAAATTTATATAGTGGTTACATCACTAGAATCGATGCCATTGTTTATATAAAAATAGGTTACAAGAATATAATTTGAAATCTATATAATAAAATAAGAATAGTTGTGATATATTACCAACTTGATGATTCGTTCATAAATTGTTAGATTTGTACGCATTTAAGGATCTACAGCTTTCCTAACTGTAATGCCGGTGAAATAGAAACGTGCAATTTTAATTTCCCGTATAAATTCTACTTTCTAAAATTTAATTTTAAGATATAATTTTCTTTTATTAATTTATTTTTGCGTGTGACAAGAAATGATCATTTCTTCTGTTCCATTATTTTATTTTATTTTTCCTTGCAAACACGTCTCTGGATTAGAAAACGCTATTTGACTCAAATGATAGTTGGGGTCGCAGCAATTTCCTGTTACACCACCAAAAAAATAATTTTTTTTTCAATTTTTAATCTACTTTTCGGTTGAAAAAGTCCGAAATACCATATTTTTTTTAATTTTTTTACGATTTTATTACGACTAATATATAACTGATATACAACTAAGTTATAATCGTATAGAGATGAAAGTGTCAAATAAAACGTAGTTTTTTTTTAAAATTTGATAGATGATTTTTTTACCACTTTTTTTAGAATCATTTGTAACTATATTTAGAATTAATTACGAAGTCGTAATAACGAAGTTGTTTTCGAACGGACAAATATCACGTATTTATTAAGGTAATTTCGTCAATTAAAAAAAATGGCTTATGTTTTTTGTGGTATACGGAAATTGGTGGGACGCAGGTGGGTTACTTGAGTAAAATGCCCATTAGAAAAAGCCCTTCTCGCTCTGGGTTTATTTCCTTCGTCTCCACTATTCTTCGTTACCGATAGGACCAGCCTTCGCCGGGAGAAAATTTGCCGGCAACCATGCTCCGAACTCTCTCTTGTTCCTCTTCCCTCGGTTTCTGCTCTCTCTTCTTCCGCTTCTCTCTCCGTCACTTCCCTCGCTCTTACTCCTCTCCGTCGTCTTCTGTGGCCGCCTCCTTTGCCAGCGCTTCCGGAAGAAACCTTCGACGGTTATCTTCGGCCCCCGGTGGAAGAAGGCTCTTGCTCCGCCCTGGATCGAGGTTGTCTCCGGCGGTGGCTCGCGGTCTCAATGGGCAGTTCTCCCGTCTCTCTGTTCGCGCCGTCGCTACACAACCCGCACCATCATATCCCGGTGCGAATCCTTAGAATTTCTGGATATTTAATCAATTTTTAAAATGATGATTCTTTGATTATTCGAAACTCTAGCTGAAGATGTTACCTGGGTTTATCTTTCCGGTTTCTAGAGTTCATTTCTAGGTCTTTGCTATTTAAAATTTGAACACTTCCAATACCAAAAGACCCACTTGTAGGAAAAGATTTGTATTGCTTCTACAGTCTAACCTACTGCTATTTCAGTTGAATTCAAACTGACTGTCTTGTTGGGCTTTGAGTTCGATTTACGCCATCTTGATGTTGGTTTTCTGCTATTAAGAACGTTTGGTAGTGTCTTCTGTCACAAGACGTGAATTTTTCGGCATTGGTGAACATACGAATTCGAGTTTAGGTTCGGATGTTTGCAAATGTTGTTAATCCAAGACAGTTCTGGAATATGGGGCTGCACCCTTTCTCCTCGTACTTTTGTTTATATTACTTTTAAACAGAATCATGTGTAAGCTACAGTAGTGAATTATTTTGTTTCCCTTGGAACTCAGACGTAGGACAAGATGAAGCTGAAAGGCTGGGGTTCGAGAAAGTGTCAGAAGAGTTCATCTCCGAGTGTAAATCAAAGGCTGTTCTTTTCAAACACAAGAAAACTGGTTGTGAGGTTATGTCTGTATCGAATGATGATGAGAATAAGGTGTTCGGCATTGTTTTCAGGACTCCTCCGTAAGTGCATAATATTACGTGTTTTGTGAAACGCCGCTGTCTTATCTTTTGTTTAGTGTTATGTATGGAATTGTTTTATGTGTGTTTCGTTTTTTGAATTCAACTAATAGAATGGCCAAGTTGGTTACTAATGACCGCAGTTCAGGGTTTTATGCGTTTAATTCTGAAAAACTTTGAGCTAGTTGTTAAGTTCCTTGCTTTTATTTCAGTTGTTGTGAAGTGCTCTAAAGTTCTAAGATCAAATGGAGAAGTCATAGTTAATCTTATGATTCTGTATGTTTCCATAATGCCTTGTGAATAGATGACTTTGACAATTCTGAACTTGTAGTTCTAATCTTTAGCCTTTCTAGAAACAATCTCTACTAAGCGATTATTTATTTGGAAAGGTTCCAGCTCTTAGGTTCTCCGATTTAACTGAAATGCCTAGTTATAGACTTTCTCAGCGCTCACGTTGGCTTGATATGGCTTTCGTTTGGTTGTTAATGCAGGAAGGATTCCACTGGCATTCCTCACATACTGGAACACAGTGTACTGTGTGGATCAAGAAAGTACCCTTTGAAAGAACCATTTGTTGAATTATTGAAGGGGAGTTTGCATACTTTCTTGAATGCATTTACATATCCTGACAGGACTTGCTACCCCGTTGCTTCCACAAATACAAAGGTGAAATAGACCAAATCTGAAGCATTCTTTTCTTTGTAACCTATTTTATTTCTTTCTGCATCGGTAGTTTATTGTTTTGCTTTGAATCTGATAACATTTTCGTTTGCTATATTTGTTAGGATTTCTACAATCTTGTTGATGTATACTTGGATGCAGTCTTCTTCCCCAAGTGTGTGAATGACATTCACACTTTTCAGCAGG